CCAAGTTGCTCTGTGATGACACCACCTGGCTGGTTCACCGACATGCGGAGCTCATCACATCCAAGGCTGAAGATTTCTTCCTGGTAAATTTGCTTCTCCCAGCTGGACATGGTGGCTCACACCGGTGATCCCAGCACTCAGGAGTCTGAGGCAGGAGGATTGCCATGAGTTCAGGGCCAGCCTGAGCTACATAGTGAGTTCAAAGTCAGCCTGAACTACATAGTGAGACCCTGTCTCAAAAAAAAGAGGGGGGTGCTGGGGATTTATCCCAGTGGTGTCTCTGCATGCCTCACAAGCATAAGGTCCCTAGTTTGATCCCCAGTACTCCCCAAAATATATTGCTTCCCCCGCAGTAGCTCTCCATCTGCAGCCACCCACCTCACTATGGATTTACCCTTTCCCCCCACTCTCAGAACCAATCTGATCCAAAACCCATCGACATACTCACAGCCCCAGCACTCCTGTCCCTCCCCTCATGCCAGTGGCAACCACCCTCACACTGCATGCGTGGACGACTCCCAGTCTTCCAGGGGACACCTGCTTCCATACTTGCCCTCTTTTCGGGCTGCTCCCCTCAACTGCCACGGGGCCACTTGAAAACATAAGTCAGATGTGTCACCCCCCTCCTCCAACCCTGCAAGGGTCTGCGGGTCCTAACCCCACAGCTGTTCACACTGTCGTGCCCTCACCCTAACGACAGTGGACCCCTGGCTACTCTTCGAGCTGCGCAGCGCATGCCCAGTGCAGGGCCTTGTACTCCCCTGGCAGCTGAATGCTGATGGAAGCCTCTTCCAGCCGCACCTACACAGAGAGGTCTTCCCTGACTGCCTGGCCCGGTGCAGCCCCTTACTGTCCACCCCTTTCACTGCCTTGTCGCTCCCCATGGAAGTATCGCTGCCGTCTTGCACTGTGTCACTTGTTCACTCACTTCATGCCTCTCCCATGCGTGTCCTTTCCTCAAGCATGAGATGGGGCCGGAAATTACCTCATTCTTCCTACCGTGCTCTCAGGGCCTTGACCGGCAGCTGGTACATCATTGATGTGCAGTACAATCTGGTCAATGATTCAATGAACAGACCTTTACATAAATGGGAAAAGTGAGTTTAGCATCCTCCAAAGAAAAAAGAAATGACTGCAACCATGAAACAAGAAGTGAAAGTTAGGAAACAGGCAGAACCAGAATAGGGACACCCAAATAATGATTTTTGTAATGAAAATGGTAATATCGGGCATTAAAATGCCCAGGGCTTTGGCCATAAAATCTTGGTAGAAGGGCTAAAAAGCAAAGCAAATTCAACTGAAGAGCTGGACCCTGGAACTGAATATCCCCAACAAAGAGGATGTTGATTCCAACCAATTCTGGCTTAAGTATTGTGTAACTTAGTATTTACTCATTAATTAATTTACTACTCAGTTTATTCAATTCATATTTACTGAGCATGTACTATAAATGTACTATGAACCACTGCTCCAGATGATGGGGATAGCCACTGGCCCCACTTTAAGGAGCTCACAGTTTAGTGGTGAGAGATGAGACAAAAATAAAATTGATAAGATGTGGTAAATGGTGTTAAAACCAGTGGAAAAGAGAGAAGCAGGCAGTGGATTAAGGAAGGCCTAGAGGAGGAACAGTGAGGGTCTAGAGAGGATGGTCAGAGACATACTCGCCAAGGACCAGACTCTCTGACAAAAACTTGAAGGAAGTGTGCCACGGGATCTCCGGGAGAATAAGGCTCCTGGCAGGAGGAACGGCAAGTGCAAAAGCCCTGAGGCAGAGAAAAACACCTGACACATTCAAGGAGCAGCACAGAGGCCAACAGGACTGGTGTGAGGAGAGTAAAAACAGGAGGAGACAAATTTAGAGAGGCAATGGCAGGCCCAAAGTCTCGTTATAAAGACCGACTTTGAGTGAGATGAAGAGACACTTCCAGGTTTTAAGCACAATGGAGGGAGGTCGATGGAGGGAGGAAGATGGAGGGAGGCCAGTGCCAGTAGAGGGAGGACAAAAGAGGAAGGACAACAGGTAGACAGAATGGGAGGAGGTCAATGGGAGGTGGTCAATGGACAGAGGACAATGGAGGAAGAAAAATAGAGGGAAGACAGTGGAGGGAGGAAAACAGAGGAAGGACAGCAGATGGAGGAGAGGAGAGAAGGCCAAGGGAAGAGACCAGCGGAGGGACGTCAGCGGAGAGGAGAGGACCATGGAGGGGACAGTGGAGGGGGGACGGTGGCCAGGGGATATGTCTGGCTTAGGCTAAGATTGTAGCAGTGAAGCAAGTGAGAGATGCCTGCGTCCTTGGCAAGCTTCGAAGGTCAAGCCAACAGGATTTTCCGGCCAATGATGTGGGATTGAACAGGAGGAGAGGAATCAGGGATGAGTCCAGGATATCGTCTGAGCAGCTAAAAGGATGAACTCTCCAAAAGCTGAGAGGAGGAATCAGCCAGAAAAGCATGTTTGAGGGCAGCTTGGCTCTGACTATGCTAATGTGAGATGTTTAGGAGGCACCTGAGTTGGGCAGTGGGATTGAAAGTCAGGCATTGCACAAAGAGGTCCAGGCTGAAATTCAAATTGACCAGATGATGGAAAAGAGAGAGAGAAAAAGACCAGTGAGGGAGCCCTGTGCTCCCGACATTAAGAGTGGGGAGGACCGGGAGCACCAACCAAGGACACTGAGGAGAACCAGGCAACTCCTGGGGCCCCAGAGAAGAGAGTGTTTAGGGGGGAGAAGGACCACAGACTGAAGGCTCCAGGAAGGGGAGGACTGAAAAACGCCACTGATCCCAGTAGCACCAAGGCCACAGGCAATTACGGGTGTCAGGGCAGGAACTTGATTTGAATGAATCAGAAAAAGAATGGGAGATCCATGCCAATAATACACTGATAGACTCCAGCTGTAGATAAAAGCAGAAACGTGGGTAGCTGAACAGGGGTTCAAAGGAAGAGGGACTCTTGAGAGGACTGGAAGAAAACAGCCCATTTTCACAGAGATGGGGATTATCCAGTAGAGCGAAACAGACAAATGCCAGTGAGAGAGGGGAGACGTGAGCATCAGAGGGCCGGGCTCCATGAACACTGTGGGGGTTGGTTGGATGAGCCAAGCACAAAAAGGACAAAGGGAGGCAGCATGTGGGGCACTGAGGCAGGTGGGAAGCTCAGAGAATTAGACCTCTGACATCTGACAGCCTCCATTTTCTTAGTGAAACAAGAAACAGGGCCATCTACTGAAAGAGGCAGGGTGGAGGAGGTGGGAGTTTTAAAGAGAAGAGATGGCATGAAATAGCTCCCAGTTATGTGTACAAATGTAAGGATAACAGAAATAAAATGCATACTTGTACAATATCCTGCCAAGACAGAAGAAAAATAAACCAAGGAAACACAGTGGAAAACAGGAACAAGGAAAGAAAGATTTAAAGGGAAAATAGAAAATATGGTAAAAGAAGAAAACGTACCATAATTCAAACATGTCAAGGGCCGGGGATTTAGCTCAGTGGTTCCAGTGCCTGTCTCGCAAGCACAAGGACCCAAGTTTGATCCCTGGTACCAAAAATAAAAACAAACATGTCAGTAATCACAATAAACGCGAACAGGTTAAAATTGCTAACCAAAAGTTAGGGACTTTTCTTTAGGGGTTTTACAAAAGGAGATGAATGTACCTTACCTGGATATATTTACACCAGAATGTAAACAATAATGGTCACTAGTTGATGAGTTTAAGAGTAGTTTTTATTTTTGTTAAACTTTTCAATGTTTTCTGAATTTCTTAGGAGGTCGTAATTTCATAATCAGAAAGAACGGAAGTTCTTATAAAACCACCCACATACTTCAAAAGTATAAATTTGCTGTCCAAATAAGTGCAGGGATTCAAAGAGGCTCTAAGGTCACCACCCTCCAGGACCTGGCTGGACATAAGACCATGCGATCGCAGTAAAAGAGTGCAGTCCATGTGCAGACCAGGCTCCCCTGCCGACTCAGCCCCAGAGTGGACAGGAATCAGAAAAGGAGAGCCACCTGGAGGAGGAGGCACATGTAGCATGAAAGATGTGGCCCAGCCTGGGATTCCAGCACAAAGGAGGAGCACAGTGAGCCGGCACAGGGGAAGTAGGTTGGGAAGCGCCGATGAGGTGGGAGCAAGGTTCAGGAAGAAAAAGAGGCTGTGGCTGGTGAGCTGTGCAAAAGGGCAAAGGGGAGCAAGGGGGAGCAAAGTAAGCAGATGAGAGGAGTCATTCTGCTGTGGACACCGCAGCACACAAAACAGGCCGGGCGTGGTGGCGCACACCTGTGATCCCAGCACTTGGGAGGCTGAGGGAGAAGGGTCCCCGTGAGTTAGAGCGAGGCCTGCCTGGCTTCACGGTGAATTCAAGGCCAGCCTGAACCACGTAGAGAGACTCTGTCTCAAAAATAAAGAAAAAGTACCTGAGGATGAACAGCTGGGGGCACTCACTGTTGCGTTGCACATGCATGGGCATACTGCACACGTGCTGGCACACACGTTCACCGTGTGCATACAGACATACTCGTGCACACACATCTACTGCTTCCTGTTCTCTGGCCCTTTAGCCTGGAGACTGTCACACCAGGAGTGCTCTTGGCCCAGTCTGGCCCCCCCGGACTCTCCAGCGTGCACTGTAGCTGGCCACCTCCCCCTGTGAGGCATCACCAGCTGTCCTGGACCCAGATTGCCCAGCTCTTGAGGAGGATTTGGCACACAGGTGTGTCATATAGGGGTGGTTAGAGGGACAGGAGCAGAGACAGGACCCAGGCGGGGAGGGAAAGACCCTTAGGAAGGGCAGCTGGCAATCTTGGCCACCGTGGGGACAAGACAGTAAGGAGCAGGAGACAGGAAAGGGTGACACTGGTTCCAGGAAGAAACCCGAGGTGGGAGGTCAGAGCTCTGGCACAGCTCCTGGGCGGAGTAGATTTGGGAAGGGGAAGAGATTATCAGGGTGGCTGTGGGCAGTCTGAAATCAAGGGTTTCCACAGGGCACCTAGGAGTGTCAGGAACCCCCAGCCCAGGCTCAGAAAAGGGTCACAGCAAAGCTGGTGACTAAAGTGGAGCTCACAGGCTGCAAGTCTGGGGGACACATAGGATAAAGCTTGAGGCTCACATCAACCTGGAGATTAGGGGAACCCCTGCCCACCTTCTCCTGGGTAAGCAGGACAGGCAGCCCTAGCACCCGGCTGCCCCAGGAGCAGAAACCAGGCCCACCCATGGGCGGAGGAGGTGCTGGGCTTTCACACTGGCATCTCCCTTCCTTCAGAGCCAGTTAAACTTTGTTTAAGAAAATGATTGCTAGGTTGTCTTCCAGTGTGGACCCTGGTCACACTTTAATCCTCCCCAACCCCAATTCAGCTGTTGCCGAAGGTCAGGCCAGCTGCAGCTGGGAGAGGGTCCCAGCACAGGCTCAGGTGTCAGCTGGAACCGTCCTTCGCTGGGCAGATGCTCTGTGAAGCTGGTGGCACCTGACGTGCTCCCAGCTGTCCAGCTGAGGAAGACAGCGTGGGCGCCACAGTAGGAGAAACAGGCTTGTAGCGTCGGCCCTGTGACCCTGAGCTGGCCTCTGTGAAGTGGGCCCTCCTCGGCCCCCAGAAGGCCCCATGGCATTTCCTGAGCTCTTGGACCAAGTTGGCAGCCTGGGCAGGTTCCAGTTTCTCCAGACGGTGGCTCTGGTGGTCCCTATCTTGTATGTCACCACCCACACCATGCTGGAAAACTTCTCCGCCGCTGTGCCCAGCCACCGCTGTTGGGTGCCTCTCTTGGACAATAGCACCATCCAGGACAGTGTCCCTGGGACCCTGGACCCTGAGGCCCTCCTGGCTGTATCCATCCCACAGGGCCCCAACCAGCGGCCCCACCCATGCCGCCGCTTCCGCCAGCCGCAGTGGCAGCTCCTGGACCCCAATGCCACAGCCACCAACTGGAGTGAGGCTGCCACGGAGCCATGTGTGGATGGCTGGGTGTACGACCACAGCACTTTCACCGCCACTGTGGTGACCAAGGTAAGTGCCACCAGGTCCCTACTCCAAGTTCTGGCATCTTGGAGGTTAAAGTCACAGATCACAACTGGCTGCGCACAAGTGATCGTGTTCTGGGATCCTGGGCCTCCCTCACCCCAGGTTGGCGCAAAGCCCCTTGCCAGCCCTGTGTCCCACAGGGGAAAGGGTGGCGGGACTTAATGTCCAGAGACCACCTGAATGCAGGCTCCTCCGACGTCCTGCACCAGGTCTTGGCTGGCTGACACTGAGCTGTGACCCCAGTAACCGAGTCACTGAGGACTGGGTTATTTACTGGGTTCGCCAAGGCAGGGACAAATCCAAGTAGCTTCTATGAAGGGGCATCAGCTGAATCTGGGCCAGTGGGGAGGGGCAGCTTGTCCCAGCAAGTAGGAAGGGGCCTCTGTAAGAACAGAAGGGAATCAACCTGTGGGGCGGAGAACAGGGACAGCTCAGGTGGCCACTGCAGACCGGGAAAGGAGGGGAAGAGGGCAAAGGGGCAGAGCGGGCTTGACATGGGCCAGTTAGGCAACGGGAAATCGTGAGGGGGCTTAAGCCAGGAGCAATGAGATACTCCTCAAAAGACCCAGCCATGCTATGCCGGTCGTGTCCTTCTGTCCCATCGGGCCCTGGTCTGTGACCCCAGAAGCTGTGACCCTGGGATCTGTCCCTTCCCCTTGCCACCTAGGCTCTGCCTTCTTCCTGAGCCTGTCTGCATTCTCTCCCCACAGTGGGACCTGGTGTGTGACTCTCAGGCCCTGAAGCCCATGGCCCAATCCATTTTCCTGGCTGGGATTCTGGTGGGTGCTGTGGTGTGCGGCCGCATCTCGGACAGGTGAGCACCACAGTCCTGGCAGGGCCCCTTCCTCCTTGGCACTTTTTTTTTTTCTTCCTGTACTGGGGATTAAACCCAGGGCTATTGCACTGAGCTACATCCCTATCTCTTTTTCTTTTTCTTATTTTGAGACAGGGTCTGGCTAAGTCACTAAATTGCACAGGCTGGTCTGGAAGTTGCAGCTGTCCAGCCTCCACCTTCTGGAGCTCTGGGGTTACAGGCATGGGTCACCAGTCCAGAATCTCTCCCTCTCCAAGCCACGAATTCACTTTACTCTGGGGTTGTAGAGCATCCTTGTTTCTTGTCAAATATTCACTGGCAACACCTGCTGGGTGGCTGGGCATGGTGGTGCACACCTGTAACTTCAGCACTCTCAGAGGCTGAGGCAGGAGGGTCATGAGCCCCAGACTAGATTAGGCAACTAGGAGACTTATTGAGACCCTGTCTCAAATAAATAAATAAACACACAAAGCCTGCCGGGCCGTGCACCTGTCCTCAGTGTTGCTTGAGTGCTCCTGGGGATGATGAACTCACTTCCTGCTCAGCATGGCTTCCAAGTGGGTCCTGGGTTCTCTCCTTGCGCACAGCCTTCTATGGAGGACAGCGTGGGTCTGGCCTGAGGTGTAGCAAGCACAGGGTGGGCTCTCAGTGGCTCAGTTCCCCGTGACTGGCCAGTGTGTGTGTGTTGCAGGTATGGGCGCAGGACGGTGCTGACCTGGAGCTACCTTCAGATAGCCGTGTCGGGCACTGTGGCTGCCTTCACCCCCGCCTTCTCACTCTACTGCCTCTTCCGCTTCCTGGCAGCCTTCGCGGTAGCAGCTGTCATGATGAACACGACCAGTCTTTGTAGGTCCCTGGGTGGGCGCAACACAGGAAGAGCATGAGGCGGGCCTGGGCCTGACCTCTGGGTCTCCCTCCTCGTAGTGATGGAGTGGACGTCAGCGCGGGCCCGTGTCTTGATGATGACCTTGAACTCTCTGGGCTTCAGCTTCGGCCAAATCCTGATGGCCGCCGTGGCCTATGGCCTGCGTCACTGGGCGCAGCTGCAGCTGGCCCTCTCTGCCCCTTTCTTCCTCTGCTTTGCCTATTCGTGGTAGGTGCCCCACCCTCTCCCCGTGAAGGAGTGTTTGTCCTCTCCTGGAGGCCTGGTGTGGGAGCCCCCTTTTCTTGGAAGCAGAGGCTCTAGGTGCCAGAGACCAGGGTCGTGGAGCTGGAAGAGGGCTCTGGGAGCCCGGCACAACCCTCCAGCCCAGGGCTGGCACCCCAGGTGCATTCCTGTGCCCAAGGAGTCCCCATCTGCTATGCACCCTCCAGGCCCCGGGCACGGTCGCACTGTGACCCCCATAGTGCACAGCAAGCACAGGCCACACTCTCTCCCTGTAGGTCTCAACAGCCAACAGCTCCAAGTCCGTCGAGTCCTCTCTGTCCTGCCCACCCCCAGCCTCATGTCCCCAGCTGCCTTATTGGTGTCTGAGCCCCACAAACACCTGCTTTCCTCAAGGCTTCCCCGAAGACGCAGCAGCCCCCTAGACGCTGACCTAGGAGGCCCCCGCACTCCCTTCTCCCACACTGCCCTCAAAGTCTGATAGCCCGCGCGGGTCATCACTTCTCACCTGTCTTGGAGGCCTCTTTTCCCCTCCTACAAACTCGGAGGTGCCCGGTGCCCCAGCGCACGTGGCCTCAGCTGCCCCACTTTGCGGCTGTTCACAGGGACAGCGTGTCCTGCTGGGGACCTCCATGAGCACAGGCCCAGAAGCAGGACCAGTGTCAAGGGGGCAGCTGGATGGGATGGCGCACGGGGACTAGGCTGATGTCGAGGGTCATAGAAGCCAGGTTAGTGTCAGGCAGCCGTGTCTGCTGCAGGAACAGGAAGAGTCAGACACAGGCTAGAGAGGTAGGCACTGGTGGCCATTTGGGTGCAGATAGACAGCTGGGGATGTCACAGGCCCTTTTCCTGGCCAGTGGGTGTGGGACTTCAGGAAGATGCAGTTGTGGGGTGGACAGGAGGACTGTGAGACATAGGGGGTGCCAGGACAGTAGAGGACCCTAGCAGCCTTGTAGCACAGGGTCCTACAGCCACAGAGAGGGCTTACTGCAGCCAGGTGTGGCCTCACTCCCAGGTGAGGCAAGGAAAGGGCCATGGGGCACTAAGGAAAAGGCAAGGGGACAAGATAGTCCCCACACCGCCAGCAGCCTGCTCGGGGACAGGAGGACATGGGGCCCCAACTCCACACTTAAGGAGGAAGGAGGCAGGAGGGGCCACCTGGAGAGGTGGCCTCAATGACCAGGCTGCAAACAACCTCAGTGCCCTTCACTACTACCTGCTTACTTCCTTAGTAAGCCTGGCCTGTGCACATGGAGACTGAGAACAAAGGGACAGAGACGTGAAGCTAGTGCAGGCCAGGCCCTGGAGCTACACCCAGTGACCCCTTCATGGCCCCACTCCAGGTGGCTGCCAGAGTCGGCGCAGTGGCTGCTAACCATGGGCAAATTGGACCAAGGCCTGCGGGAGCTGCAGAGGGTGGCCTCCATTAACCGGAAGAGGACAACAGGGGACACCCTGACCAGGGAGGTGAGGTGGGGCCAGGCCCTCCCCCAACCCTTCCCCTCAGCTCTCTCCCTGACCCTGCTCAGAGCCCCAGCTCTTCAGAGCTGAGGGTCTCTGGGAAAGAGTCACTGGGAGCCCCAAAGTCAATGCCACCCCACCCCACAGGGCTTGCTCTCAGCCGTGCAGGAGTTGAGTGGGGCTCAGGATTCCACCACCCTGGGTGCCCTGCTCCACATGCCTGGCCTGCGCCTCCGGACCTGGATCTCCATGCTGTGCTGGTAGGTGCCTGCCTACACCTCCCGGGGCCTCAGTTCACCACAGGACAGACTAGGATCTGGGCTGGCCTCCTACAGCACAGCCCCCATTCCTCTGGTCCGACAGGAACCACCAGACCAGGGGGCTCCCTGAGGGGGGCTATAAGGGGCCAGGCAGATAAGCTTCATGACCAAGACCAAGATGCTGGGTGGCCTTCAGGGTAAATAGGACAGTGAGCAATCAGGGAGCCACAGACAGGCACAGGCACCTACCAGGAGGCTCTAGGAGGCAGTGGGGTTACTGTGAGAATCCACCAGGGTGGGCTACCCAGCGAAGACCAAAGCCACTGCAGCCTGGAGGGAGGCTGGAGCCATAGCTACTCCCACGAGGTGCCCACTCCCAGACAAAACAACCAAAGGAGAGGGAGACACCCCTAGCTTCTGCCTCCTCCGCCTGGGTCTGCACCCCAGCTCCTCACCAATGCTTCCCATTGACCAACCCGAAGACGCGCCCCTTTGACAGATAGGAAATGAAGTCACAGAACAAGAGGAAAAGAGCAGCCCTAACCCCAGCCCCATTCTGTCCCCACCCAGGTTCGCCTTTGGCTTCACCTTCTATGGCCTGGTCCTGGACCTCCAGGCCCTGGGCAGCAGCAACATCTTCCTGCTGCAGGTGCTCGTCGGGGTTGTGGACATCCCTGCCAAGATGGGCACCCAGCTGCTGCTGGGCCGCCTGGGCCGCCGCCCCACACAGGCCGGCTCCCTGGTGCTATCCGGGCTCTGCATCTTGGCCAACACACTGGTGCCATACGGTGAGCAGCACGAGCACCCAAGGGAAGCACCACGGGGTCAGGGTCAAAGACAGAGACCCGGGGTCCCCTGCACGGAGAGTGCCGGAGCAGAGCGGCAGCCTGGCTAGCAAGGGCCCTGCTGGGGGCCGTGGATGTGCTGGGGGTGGCAGTGGCCAGAGTCCGGGGGCAGAATGGGGGATGTGTGTGGCAGAAAAGGAGAACAGCGATGGACTTCAGCAGGAGAGGGTGGGTGCGCTGAGGAGGACCCCAAGGTCTGGCTCTGGGTGGGAACACCTCAGAAGTACAGTCGTAAGTCACTTGGGACCCCCCCCCAGTTAGAAACATTTTGCAGGCTTGGAGTGCAGGGAGAAGCCCCTGGGATAAAGGGATCCCCCACTGCTCCTAAGATTCTGGATGCCAACCCTGCCAACCTGTCTCTGTCTGCAGAGATGGGGTCACTACGGTCAGCCCTGCCTGTTCTGGGGTTGGGGTCGCTGGGGGCTACCTTCACCTGTGTCACAGTCTACAGTGGTGAGCTCTTCCCCACTGTGCTCAGGTGAGGCTGTCCTGGGAGGTGGGGGATTGGGCAGGGAGGGGCAAGGCATTCTGGACTCCGATGCTCGAGATGCTGTCTCCCTTCCATGTGACCCAAGTATGTCCCAGCCAGGCCTGATGCCTGGGGCCTCTCTGGACCAAGAGGGGCTGGACCCTGGTAGAAGGTCAAGGCCAAGGGCCAAGAAGCAGCTCTTCACCAGTACATCTGCCCCAACAGGATGACAGCTGTGGGCCTGGGTCAGATGGCTGCCCGTTTGGGAGCCATCCTGGGCCCTCTGGTCCAACTGCTGAGCATCCACAGCCCCTGGCTGCCCCTGCTGGTATATGGGGCAGTGCCAGTGCTAGGTGGCTTGGCTGCACTGCTGCTGCCCGAGACCCAGAACTTGCCACTGCCCGACACCCTCCAAGACGTGCAGAACCAGTAAGTGAACAGCCCTGGGGCCCCCTCCTTCCCTGACTCCCTGCCTTTTCCCTCGCCTCCCTTTCCCCAGAGAACCCCAGAACAGGGTAGTCTGGGTGCCTCTTCTCCATTCAACAGGGGAGGGGGAAGTAGACACCAGAGAGGGTTAGGACCAGCCCACAGTCACACAGCACACCATGAGAGAATGGAGGCCCAGGACCGAGTCCGTGGCCACCAGTGTGGCTTTACCCTCTGCCCTTCATCCCACCACAGGAAGCCCAGCTCCGCCTTAAGAAGGGACAAGTGTGAGAGTGGGGAGTCAGCCCTCTGGCAGGGGAATGCAGGCTATGTTAGCTAGCGTTGGGTCCTCACTGGCCCAACTAAAGCTTCAGGTGTCTGACAGGGCTGTCACTGCCCACCCCACCCCACCATGTGCTCAGGAGGCTCAGTCCTGAACAGATCGCCTGAGTCTGCAGGATGGAAAAAGGTCAAGGGTCGGAGGTCACTCAGCACCCTGAAACACACCTCACTCTGTCCTTCCCGAACAGGGCAGTAAAGAAAGCAACACACAGCACACCAGCACCCTCCGTCCTGACATCCACACGACTCTAGCCTCCTGCGAGGCCACAACGCACAATGTGCTGCGGAAGAAGAGGAAGTAGCTTCTGGAGGCAATGGAGGTGCTTAAGGAAGGAAGGCTTCTAGTTCCAGGGTCCCAGGGCTGCCCTCCCTGGTACCGCTCACTGTCAGGAGCCCCCTCCAGCACAGAAAGGCCAAAGGACCCTTGATTGGCAGGGATCTGCCCTGTCCACTCACCACCCTGGCACCCCCAACCTCCATGGCTGCCAGGTCAGGGAATGCCTTTTACTGCTCGCCTCCCACTGCCCACTGGGCCCAGGGCTCAGAGCTGACTGCCACCTCTCCTAGCTCAGCACCAGCAACAAAGTCTTGACCCCTCAGTGTCACCCCTGGCCTGTGGCAGCCTGGCCCAGCCACTTTGGCTCATGGCCACCCTCAGCACACTCCTGCCATGTGCTTGGCCACACGCCCTGCCTGCGGTTCCTCCCCACCTCCACAGTGACACTCAGGGTCTGCCCAAGACCCAGTGACTCCCTGACCCATGGTCACAGCTGCACGCTTGTCTTTGCCCTCCCACCTGCCAATGAGTTCCCGGAGGGCCAGGTGGCTGCATTCACATGAAGGATGGAATAAAGAGTGACGAATGGGACAAAGCACACTGTCACTCAGGGGCACCAGCAAGGAGCCCCAGGGTCTCCTCTGGGGTGGGGGGAGGAGAGGACTGAGGCTTTCCTGCACCATGTGTCAGGCAGAGACACCGTGCCAGGCTCCTCAGAGGACCAGCTCATTTCCCCTGAACCCAGAGAGGTAGAAGCTGCCTCATTTTACAGACAGGATGACTGAAGCTCAAAGAAGCTGAAGGTCCTGACATACAGCGAGGAGGAGGCAAGATCAGGACTCTGGCCCTGGAATGTAGGTCTCCAGGGTCAACTCTGGGTGACACAATGTCCCGGGGACACCTCAGCCTCACTGCCTGGGAAGACTGGGATGCTTCTTGAGAGCTGCAGTAGGGCCTTCTCATACCTCCCAGAAGGATCCAGGGCCCTGCAGGATCCTCTGCACCCTCAAGGGAAGGGCAGCCCAGTGCTCTGCAGAGCCTCTGCTGGAGGCAGGAGCTGCACGCCAGGTCTTCACCAGCTGGGTCCCCAGAGCTCAGACACTTCTGTATCATGTAGTCAGTGGGAAACAGGAGGTCCTGGCCCCCAGAGGACAGGATCCCCATACCTGCCTGGTCTTGTCGACTGCAGCCCCTGGCTCCAGAGCCATGTCCTTGGAGATGGCCAACTTCGGTAAAGATCCCTAGACCGACAGGACAGAAGTAGGGCTTATTACCAAGTGTGGTGTTGCACACCTATAAGCCCAGCACTTGGAAGGCTGAGGCAGGGGGAGCACCATGAGTTCGAGGCCAGCCTGGACTACATAGTGAGTTCAAGATCAACCTGGACTATACAGAAAGGCTGTCTCAAAAAAACTCTAAAAAAAGTAGACTTCAGCTGCAAAGACACCCCAAGACAAGCCTGTCTGCACATGCTGGCTTCCGTTCTGTGTTGCCCATTGCCTGGCTGACAGCACCTGTCGTTCCTAGCCTCCTTCCATATTCTTGGGGCCCCAGGGTGTCCAGAAACTTTCAGAAGGCAGAACCCAGAGGGAAAATGGCCCCTGTTCCTCCCCCAGAATGTCCCCCCTGCTCACCAAACAGGCCAGGCTGTCCCTCCACCCACATTCAGAGTGGCTGTACTCCCGGTCTTTCTAGGTGGTACAACCTTCCAGGACCACCCAGGGATTCTGTCTCTAGGTTATGTCACCCCTCTGCCAACTGCACAGGAGTGGTCACTGAGGGCCACTCCAGGGAGTGAGCAGTGTCACCGCAGCTCAGTGTGTACCCTCCCCAGGGCCTCCCCTGGGGACTCATCCTCTTGAATGCCCACCACAGGGACTCCTGACACACTAATGGGGACCCCGCCATGGAGGGGCCGAGGGGTCTGGGTATAGGACAGAGGGGCCTGGGACCACCAGCTATCTTGTCTTGTGGTGGCAGAGGCCTCATATGGTGGTGACAGAGGAAAGGGGCTCAAAGAACTGTCCTCCTGCCCCCATCAAAGCCAAAGCTCACCCCAGTGCTTGTGCCTAGAGGGGCAGAGTGGGCACTCAGGCTCTGTACTGACTTGCAAGAGGGGGGCAGTTCTTTAAGGACAAAGGGCATCAGCCAAACTCCACCTTGGGCTTCCACAAGCACCAGTCCTTGGTGCTTAAGGTGGACTCTCCTGACACAATCCCCCCAAGCCCCTGTCAATCAGTCCAGCTCCAGGGATCTCAGCAACCCCCAGATGCTGTTTGGGTCTCTCCTGGGGTCACTGTCCAGTGAGCCAGACCCCGAGGAGCCCACCTCAGGCCAGGTGCTACACTTAACATCTGGCGTGCACTCAGACTGGGTGCACTGAGTCAGCAGCCACGCCGGGTACCCTTCCTCTTACAACAGAGCTCTTAGCCTCCTTGTTCAGCGAGGGAAAGATGGAGTCACACAGCCACCGGACCACAGGGACCCAGGCCATCCTTCCAACCCCTGGGCTATCCCCAACCTCATTCAGGGACACTCTAAAAATGTCTGGAATAAGACGTTCCTGCCCTTGTGTCCCAGGGATTCCTATCTACCTGCCTTTTTTTTCTGACCAGTGACCATGAGGGAAAGGGAAACCTGAGAAAGCCTCATCCCTGGGCAGAGACAGCTGCAGAGGACCAAGGCCATCACCAGCATAAGGACAGGACACCCTGGCAGCTCCACCCCACATGTGGCTCCCCAGACTCTCACAAGTGGTGAAAGGTGACCTCAGGATGCTGACACCCAGGCTCCAAGGCAGGGATCCCCTGGAGGCAGCAGGACTGGAATTTCAACCCCAAGAAGGCAAAAAGAGGCCAAGTCCTTGGAAGTCCACCCTTGGGGATGGCGGGAGTCCTGTTCTCTCACTCTGGATAGGGCTTCGAAGGACTCTCAAAAGGGCTGAGAGAGCACTGTGCTGGGGAGGGCCGGAAGACAAGCTCCTTCCCAGGATGGAGGGAAAGCAGGGTACAGACGAGCCTGAGCGGGGTTCCGCAGCTGTGCAGAGGTGGCAGCTACCCCCCAAGAGATAGTCTTCTGCCCAGTGAGACCCTCCCAGCACTCAGGAGTCCGGGCCCAAAACTGTCTGGCACTGGGACTGGGGAAAGCCTCCAAGGGTGGGCCATCCACCAGAGAAGGCAGTGGAGGGTGATGGGCACCAAGGGGCCAGAAAACAGCTGGGAGAGGAGGCAGGAACCTCTCTAAAACCAGGGAGCCCTGAGCGACAGCAACGTGGCTGAGTCACGTCTCATGTGTCAAGTGCCGCGAGCACCCACCACTGCCACCCTTGGGATCCAGAACCACTACGAGGTCCTGGTGGTACAGGGAAGGGGCAAAGGCTGGAAAAGGAAGGCTGGAAGCAGCTGGGACTCAGCACTGACTCCTGCACCCCCTGGACCAAGCACTGATGCTCTCATCAGCCACCTCCCTCCGAAGCTGGATGCTGGTCAGCAGCGTCCATCCTGCCCCAAGTCAGCACCTGGTACACACAGTCCTCTGAGAAGCTGAGGTCCGAGGAACCATGGCCAGAGATCAGCCAGACTCACCAGCAAGCGAGCGAGCGACTCCTCCTCATCCCCACACAGAGGGACCTGGGGGTGAGGAGAGGTTGTGCCAGGAGCCCAAAGCCACGCTCAAGTTCCAGGGCGACTTACCAGCTCTGTTGGACCCCAAGCCCAGCACAAAGCCAAGCCCAGAGTCCTAAAGGCACCCACCCCAAACAAACTGCACAGGACCGTTGGAATTTGGAAAGTTTTTGTTTTCTTTTTCCCACACATTTCTGGGGTTGGGGTGTTTTCCAAGACTCAGACACATTTGTTAACAAAGAGAGAAAAAAAACTGGGGAGCAGGGAGCCCATAGGCCAAGAGGTGGCCCCAGCAGTTTGCAGATGCCACCTTGCTCCCTCCTTTCCCTGCACCTGTGCCCAGCGGGTGCCACAGGCTGCTGCTGTGGTATCTAGATTATTTGTCTTCAATATATATCGCATTTGCCTTTCCCCTCCCCCACCCCCCACCCTGCTCCTCCAGCAGCTTCCCCAGCAATGCACGTCGCCCGCGGAGGCACTCAGAACAGGCCTTAGCAGGGCCTGAACCCCTTCCCTGGGTGGCCCCAGGGGGCACCTCACCTGGTGAGGGGAGCAGGGGCATGTGGGGCCCTGCCCCTCCCCATCCACCCACTGGGCTGCCTCAGGCCCACCCTCCCGCCCTTCTCCCACCAACTCTGGAAACCCAAAAGGGGGAAAGGGAGAAATCAGATGTACACACCAAAAAAAAAAAAAGGAAAGAAAAACAAAGAAAAGAAAAGGGGGCGCAGGGACAGAAAGACACAGCAAGCCTGGAGAGACTGGAGAGTTCGGGAAGAGAAGGAAGGCAAGAGGGAGGGAAGGAGGAAGAAAAAATTGAGGGAAATAAACAAGACACATAGTGGACACTTTACAAAACCCCCAGCCTTCCTTCCCGCCCAACCCCACCAAAATAAAACTACCCCTCTTAAAAAAATAAATCAACCCAGGGCTGTGAGCAGTGCCCTGCCTGGTGGGCGTGTCGCCCAGAGGGACAGACAGCCTCAGGGTTGACAGTGCGGTGCCGCGGGCAGCAGGAGGAAGGGGACAGCTCGGGGTTATTCCTTTTCCTTTTTCTTTTTTTGCGTTTCCTCTTCTGAGAGAAGCCTGAGGAGGCCAGGGAGAGGGTCCCCAGGCCCCGGCAGGGAGAGGGCCGCCCCTCCTCCCCGGGCTGTCCTGGGAGGGACAGCTGGCAGTGGGCGCGGTGCCGGCGGGGGGCTCTGGGGGCTCAGACGTAGTACTCCTTGTCTTTGTTCTTCTTGGTCTTGCTGGGTGTCTTGGGGGCGGCCAGGGCCTTCTCTTTCACCACCGCCCCGTTGCTCTGGGCCGAGTTACTGATGTAGTTCCGGCTCTGGTCCACCTGGTAAGAGCCCTCGTCGCGGTTGCGGTACTTGTACATGGCGTAGAGCAGGATGAGGATGCAGAGGGCCGCCGCCGCGACAATGCCCACCACCATGCCCGTGGTGCTGCTGGACTCCCGGATCACCTCCACCGCGCCCGGCGGGCCCCGCTCCCCTGGGCCCGTGGGGTTGGCTGTGGGCAGAGGGGGGAAGCCCGGGGCT